TTAAAAAGTATAATTGGTCAGTGAGCCGAGATCGCGCCATTGCACTCCAGCCTGGGTAACAAGAGCGAGACTCCGTCTCAAAAAAAAAAAAAAAAAGTGTAATTGGCTAAGTTTCTGCCTCAGATGGGTGTGAAAGATGGGACAGTTCTTCTTCAAAGTTTGTATCTTAGACTACACTATAAGGAGTTATAATCTCTTGCTCTATGACCATTATCTGCTATTAGCATAAACACATACCCATGTATATATATTCTCTAATCAGCTACATCTTAAATCGGCTACCTTGACTTGCTCTGGCACGTCTGAACAGAACTGGGCAATCTCCAAACCCTGGTGCATGCCATTCCTTATTTGAAAATCCTCCTGACCTCCTGACTAGTTTCCTCTTCTCCCTTGTCTTCTTTCCTCCTTATCTATTCAGGAAATTTTCAAGGTTTTAGCCAATCGGGTCAAGCATAGAATGTGAGGTCCCATTCCAGCCAATGGAAACTGGACACAGCATTAGGGCAATTGCATCAGGTTACGAAAGTTATAAATGTCCCTGTCTCCTTTGTTCAGGTGTGCCCTCGTGGCAAGACTGCCAGCGAGTTGCACCCTTTCTGCAGAAAGTAAACTAGCTTTGCTGAGCAATCCATTGTCTCAATGTGAATTCTTCCTGACATTATAACCTGTTTCCAACAACGGGTAAAAGAATCTACCACCCAGGTGCCTGAAAGTGTGGTACCTGGGCAACTAAAGGTCTATGGGTACTCATTTTATTCCCAGAGTTTGGCCTGGAAAAGCTCAAAGAGTATGATGAAAATGTAAGTAGTGTATGCTAGACTTCCAGACTGTCTGTGAAATCAGCAAAGTCTCAGAACAGCATAGAAAACACAAAAGACTTTAAAGAAGTGCATCTTCTCTGCCCTTGGTCTTTATGTGAGCTGTCATTCAAGGGCAGCCCTCTGTGGAGAAACAGTCCTGGACCCTGTGAGCAGCAAGGTCTGGGGAAGCACACCGCCCCTGAATGATCAACCTGGCCGTCATTTGCCTTGTATTCCTCTAGGAGTTAAAAATCTTTCTGAAAGGTACTGGGTGAATTGTGCCTTTGTGATTTGTTGGGTGGTGCTCTGAAAATTCCTCGTCTCTGTTCCTAATTTTAGAGCCAGCAGCTGTCACTGCTTTGTTCTAACAAGTCAGTAATTTTCCATTCCCCTTGCTTCCTTGGATTTCCTTTCTATATCTAATCACTCACTCTGCAGGGGCTTCTAACTTGGTCTTCTCACTTAAACATTTTTATTATCAGTTAGTTTTTAAACTTATAATTAGACCTTGTCATTTTTTTTACTCCAAAGAAGGATGTGTATGTCACATATTCTGTCATTTGTTATTTCTGTGAGTTAGTAATTGCTTTTATTTTATTATTTTATTTTGTATTGTTAGTAGAGATGGAGTTTTGCCATGTTGGCCAAGTGGATCCCGAACTCCTGACCTCAAGTGATTCTCCCTCCTTGACTTCCCAAAGTGTTGAGTTTACAGGCATGATCTACCGTGCCAGGCCTAGTAATTGCTTTTAAAAAGTATTGGCCGGGCATGGTGGCTCGCGCCTGTAATCCCAGAACTTTGGGAGGCTGAGGTGGGTGGATCACAAGGTCAGGAGACTGAGACCATCTTGGCTAACATGGTGAAACCCCCATCTCTACTAAAAATACAAAAAAGTTAGCCGGGTATGGTGGCGTGCACCTGTAGTCCCAGCTACTCAGGAGGCTGAGGCAGGAGAATCGCTTTAACCTGGGAGGTGGAGGTTGCAGTGAGCTGAGATTGCACCACTGCATTCCAGCCTGGGTGATAGAGCGAGACTGAACCTTAAAAAAAAAAAAAAAAAAAAAAAAAAGGTTAAGGCATTATCTTTTGTTTTGTCTGCATACACTGTACTTATATAAACCTTCTTACTGTGTGTGATAGACATAAAGTTTTCTCATGCAATGATATGGCATTCAGTGTTTTTCATCTTCATAGCAGCAGGGCTGGTTTTGTTTCTTATTTGACCAATTATGTATTTTTAGGATTCCATGGGTACCAACGCAATTCCTTGAAGGTGTTTTACAGGTGGTATCATAACTTTATTTTTCTATTTTAGTTTTGCAGTAGTCTGGGATTTGCTTCAAATCCATCCAGATTCTCCCTCCTCGATGTCCCAAAGTGTTGGGTTTGTGGGAGGGGGATGTGGGTTAATGAAACAAGACTGGCCATAACTGTTGACATGGATAGTGGGAGCACGGTGGTTCATTATGCTTCTCTCTATCTTGGGGTATGCTTGAAATTTTCCATTATAAAAAGCTTTGAAGATTTTTACATGAAGATTATTTCTAATAATCTTCCTTTAATAAAGATATACTCATTGTACAAATACTGCCATCTACAGGTGGAAAATATATTTTCTTTTGATTTGGATAGGCTGCAACATCAAAAAAAAAAAAAAAAAAAAGGAAAAAATTATTGTAATCTTGATCTCTAACCTAGTAACTCTGAAATGTTATTACTGTTACCATGCTTTTCTTAAAACTCACCATTAATATGAGTTGCTAGGTACAATGCACATAAATTTCATTATAATCTCTGTTCTGTATATCAGTAAAATTCGTTTGAAAAAGGTCAAATTACATTTTAATGTAAAGGCTCATGATTTTTAAAAGAATGACTTGTGACTTTTAAAGGTTTAAAAATTCCAAACCAGAATATAACTTAAAAATATAGTATTTACCCTTTACTTATTTTTGATGACTTGAGAACGTATCTGTATTTTAAGTCTCATGTCCATGTGAACTTGACATTTTCACACAGGTCCACAGAACAGAAAGTTACTGCTTTCAAATTTGGGGAAAATGTAAGAGAAATTTCTTTAAATCACATACAGTAGACAAAGATTCCTTTATGAATACCAGAAACAAGTGACCAAAAAAAAAAAAACAAAAAAAAAAACTTTGGGGTTAAGCAGAATGTTCTGGATATCAAACTTGAAGCTTGTGAGCATTCTTTTTGTTTGTTTGGTTGGTTGGTTTTTGTTTTTTTTAGATGGAGTCTCACTCTGTCACCCAGGCTGGAGTGCAGTGGTGTGATCTCAGCTCACTGCAACCTCCACCTCCCGAGTTCAAGTGATTCTCATGCCTCAGTCTCCTGAGTAGCTGGGACTACAGGTGTGCCACCACACCCGGCTGATTTTTGTATTTTGAGTAGAGACAGGGTTTCACCATGTTGGGCGGGCTGATCTTGAAATCCTGACCTTAAGTGATTTGCCTGCCTCGGCCTCCCAAAGTAATCTCATACCTGAGATTACAGGTATGAGCCACTGAGCCTGGCCTAAAGCTTGTGATCATTTTTATGTTGAATTCCAATGTACTCTTCACACCCAGATATGTTCCAAATGGAACAAAAATTTCAATGCAGTAAAACCATTAAAAGTATTTGAAAAAATGATAGAAAAAAGTATTTTTAAAATCTTGAAGTCAGGAATGGTTTTTCAAGCTAGATTGAAAATCGAGGAGCCTTAAAGAAAAAGACTAATAAATTTTTACCATATAAAGGTTAAAACATATGCACAGGAAAAGCTTATATCACAGATATATGGTACAAACTATATATTCATATATAGAGACAGGGTCTCACTCTGTCACCCAGGTTAGTAGCCATATGCACTGCAGTGAATTTCAGCTCATTGCAGCCTCAAACCCCTGAGCTCAAGCAATCCTCCCACCCCAGCCTCTTCAGTGTCTTTGACTACAGGTGCATGCCACCACACTCGGCTAATATTTTTGAAAATTTTAAAATGTTTATTTTAGAGGCAGGGTCTCAAACACCTGAAATTACAGGGATGAGCCCCTTAACTGAGCCATAAGTATTTTTTAGGCTGGGTGCAGTGGTTCATGCCTGTAATCCCATCACTTTGGGGGGCCAAGGTGGGCAGACTGCCTGAGTCCAGAAGTTTGAGACTAGCCTGGGCAACATGGCAAAAACCCCATCTCTATGAAAAACAAACAAACAAAAAATAGCTAGGTATGGTGATACAAGCCTGTAGTCCCAGCTACCCTAGGAGGCTGAGGTGGGAGGCTCGCTTGAGTCCAGGAGGTGGAGGCTGCAGTGAGCTGTGATTGCACCACTGCACCCCAGCCTGGGCGATAGAGTGAGACCCTGTCTCAAAAAATAAACAAATTTTTTAAAATGTCATATTTTAAATAGTTTATTTAATGCATAAATGGTTCCTATTAATAAGTTCAACAAATCAATAGAAAAATGAACAAAGTACAAGAATAAGCAGCCCCAGAAGAAGAAGCAAAAATGGCAGCTGGGCACAGTGGGTAATCCCAGCACTTCCAGAAGCTGAGGTGGGTGGATCACCTGAGGGCAGGAGTTCAAGACCAGCCTGGCCAACTTGGCAAAAACCTGTCTCTACTAAAAAATACAAAAATTTAGCCAGGCATGGCAGTGGGTGCCTGTAATTCCAGCGACTCGGGAGGCTGAGGCACAAGAATTGCTTGAACCCAGGAGGCAGAGGTTGCAGTGAGCCGAGATGGTGCCAGTGCACTCCAGCCTGGGCAACAGAGAGAAACTCTGTCTCAAAAAAAGAAAAGAAAAGAAAAGAAAATGGCTTATGATGTCTGACTGAAAAAAAAAAAAGGCTTATAAGCTCTTACTGAAAGAAAAAAGTAGCATTAATTTTTTGATGTGTCAGACTGGCAAAGATAGAGGTCAATGATACACGCACAAGGGAGACAGAGGCTCATACATTGATTGGAGAAACCAGTGAATTTGGGCTCAGGGCTGGAAAAGGCAATTTTAATACCATTTTTCAATTGAGAGAGAGGAAGAGAGATTTTGAATGGGAGAAGTTCCCATGCTGTGTGGAGGGAAGACAGCCACCTCACTTGGGTTGATTGAGGGGGATCTTGCAGGGGTATTGCAGGGGAAAAGAACGGGGCCGGGGAAAATGAGGAGGTTTTGAGAAGAAGAGAGGAAGAGGCTTCTGAGTTTGAAACAATGTCTAACTTAAATTCTACATTTTTTTCCTTTCCTTTTTTTTTTTTTTTTTCTGAGACTGTCTTGCCCTGTCACCCAGGCTAGAGTGCGGTGGTGCAATCTCGGCTCACTGCAACCTCTGCCTCCCGGGTTCAAGTGATTCTTCTGCCTCAGCCTCATGAGTAGCTGGGATTACAGGTGCCTGACACCACAATTCAGTTCATTTTTGTATTTTTAGTAGAGTCAGGGTTTCACCATGTTGGCCAGGCTGGTCTTGAAATCCTGACCTCAGGTGATCCGCCCGTCTTGGCCTCCCAAAGTGCCAGGATTACAGGCATGAGCCACCATGCCTGGCCTAAATTCTACATCTTCAATGACTGAATCACTCTGGGAGACTGAAAAGCTCCTTTACTAAGCAGAGAAGGGACATGAAAACAACAGAATATTCTGAAATCTCACCATTCTTTTGGCTTTCAGATCACAGGAACTAAGTTCGGTCAGCAGCCAAAATAAGAACTCTCTGGGGTCTTGGTCATAAGCAGTTTGCAAGGAAATTTCCAATGTGCACGGTCCCTCCAGTCTTGATCCCTTGGGATGCAATGGGAAAAATTCCTACCTCAATACCAGATCAGCTGCCTCTAGCCACAGCGGTGCTACCAAAGGTGGCCCAGTTGACTCACCAACCCCCGCTTCTGCAAACTGAGGGAACTGGACCATCTGAGCTCTGTCCTTTCCAACGCCAAAATTATCCAGACTGGTCTTGACCACCTGTAGTCAGGGCTAGAATAGAAACAGTAACTGTAGTTTCCCTGGAGGCAACAATATGGCGTGCAATCCAGGTTTGAGGAAAGGGAAGGGAAGGCGAGAAGGAACCCTCTACAGACTATTATTATTTTTTTTTTTGAGACAGTCTCTCTCTGTCACCCAGGCTGTGGTGCAATCTTGGCTCACTGCAACCTCCATCTCCCAGGTTCAAGCAATTCTTGTGCCTCAGCCTCCCAAGTATCTGGGATTACAGGTGTATGTCACCACATCTAGTTGATTTTTTGTACTTTTAGTGGAGAGGGGATTTCACCATCTTGGCCAGGCTGGTCTCAAACTCTCGACCTCAAGTGATCCTCCCACTATGGCCTCCCAAAGTGTTGGGATTACAGGCATGAGCCACCATGTGCCCAGTTTGCAGACTATTATTCTTTCTTCCTTGTTTTTTTTTTTTTTGGGACAGAGTTTTGCTCTTGTTGCCTAGGCTGAAGTGCAATGGCACTATCTTGGCTCACTGCAACCTCCACCTCCTGGGTTCAAGAGATTCTCCTGCCTCAGCCTCGCAAGTAGCTGGGATTACCGGCACCTGCCACCACACCTGGCTGTTTTTGTTTTTGTTTGTATTTTTAGTAGAGACAGGGTTTTACCATGTTTTCCAGGCTGGTCTCGAACATCTGACCTCATGTGATATGCCCACCTCAGCCTCCCACAATTCTGGGATTACAGGCATGAGCCACTATGCCAGCCTCCAGACTATTATTCTAGGTGAAATAACTCAGAAATGGAAAACTAAACATCCTATGTTCTCACTCATAAGTGGGAGCTAAGCTATGAGGATGCAAAGGCATAAGGATGACACAGTGGACTTTGGGGACTCTGGAAGTGGAGAAAGGGTGGGAAACGGGTGAGGGATAAAAGACTACAAACTGGGTTTACTGCTTGGGTGAGGCGTGCGCCAAAATCTCACAAATCACCACTAAAGAACTTACTCATGTAACCAAATACCACCTGTTCCCCAAAAACCTATGAAAATAAAAACAATTTTTTTTTTAAAAAAAGAAGGAGCCGTCTGCAGTGGGGAGCAGCCCCACCCTGCCCGTTAGGGAAGGACAGAATTCTCCTCCAGGGGAAAAGTCTGAATGAGACAGCAGATGGCCATTGTCTGTTCACATGGAAATCCTTCCCCATCCAGGTGTTTCCTCCAGCTCAAAACTGTTCTGTGACTTTCTGGATGTCACACGATCACATTGCCAGGTGTGCTCCTGAAAGCTCGTCTGTGCCCGCCACCACACTCAGCTAATTTTTGTATATTAGCTGAAATGAAATAGTGAGGCCTATTTTCATCTTCCCAAACCAAAGAGTTTAGCGTTGTGTGTTGGTCGTCTTTCAAAAATAGTTGTGGGCTGGGAACAGTGACTCACACCTGTAATCCCAGCTCGTTGGGAGCCCAAGGTAGGAGGATTGCTTGAGCCCAGGAGTTTGAGACCCATCTCTACAAAAATTAAAAATAAAAGTAGCTGGGTGTGGTGGCACACACCTGTAGTCCTAACTCCTTGGGAGGCTGAGGCGGGAGGATTGCTGGAGGTAGGAGTTCAAGGCTGCTGTGAGCCAAGATTGTACCACTGCATTCCAGCTGGGCAACAAAGCAAGAACCTGTCTCTTAAAAAAAAAATGAATAAATAATTATGATTACAGTTTTCCACTCTGAAGCTTGGATTTCTTGGACTTCCATTTAGAATTCAAGCTTACCAACACAAATTTCTGAGAACATTTTCAAATGGATCGACTAGGCTTAAATGCCATCTATGTCCCTTTATCGTTGTCAGCTTGAATTGTTTTTTGAGTCAAGAGATTTGGAATGTAAATGCCAGCTACCTCTCCATGCCACCTGACACCTCTGGGCCTCTGTAACATAGTGGTTGGTTTGCCTTTTTTTTTGAGATGAAGTATCACTCTTGTTGCCCAGGCTAGAGTGCAAAGGCATGATCTTGGCTCACTGCAACCTCCCCCTCCCGGGTTCAAGTGATTTTTCCTGCCTCAGACTCCGGAGTAGATAAGATTACAGGCATGCACCACCTCACCTGGCTAATTTTGTATTTTTAGTAGTGACATGGTTTCTCCACGTTGCTCAGGCTGGTCTTGAACTTCTGACCTCAGGTGATCTGTCTGCCTCGGCCTCCCAAAGTGCTGGGATTACAGGTGTGAGCCACCTTGTCCAGCTTTTTTTTTTTTTTTTTGATACCAGATCTCACTCTGTCACCCAGGCTGGAGTGCAATGGCATAATCTTGGCTCACTGCAACCTCCACCTCCTGTGTTCAAGTTATTCTCCTGCCTCAGCCTCCCAAGTAGCTGGGACAACCACCGTGCCAAGCTAATTTTTTTTTTTTTTTTTTAGTAGTAGTAGACACAGGGTTTTACCATGTTGGCCAGGCTGGAATTTTTATATTTTTAGTAGAGACAGGGTTTTACCATGTTGACCAGGCTGGTCTAGAACTCCTGGCCTCAAGTGATCCACCCACCTTGGCCTCCTAAAGTGTTGGGGTTACAGGGTATGATCCACGGTGTCTGACCTGGTTGGTTTGCTTTTAAAGCAACAGAGAGTTTCCATCGTATGAAATCTTACCTTTGAGCTCCAATACGAAACAGTCGCTAAGGCTGAAAAGAGCCCTGTATAGTCTCTTGGGTTCACTCAGGTCTGTCAGAGGCTGCAAGGAAGCTGGAAGGTTTCAGAGATGAGGAAATAACCTCCGAAGACCGCCACCCAGTGAGGGTGGCAACCTCCCAGCAGCTCTCATTTCACAGGAAGGATGAGTTTGCCACTTTGCCTCATTTGAAAGGCCTCCGATGAAAAAGCCACCTGACATCAATGAAGAAAAGAAACAAAACCGCTTACGTGCTAATTAAAGTTTTAACATTTGCAACAAGTTGACAAAAACAAGCAGCCTTCTGTTTCTTTCCTTTCTACAGCAGTTACTCCTAAAAACAGTGATCAGAAACCAGGAAAAGCACTTTCGCTTTTGAGTACGTTTCTCTTGCTGTTTGCAAGTAGTTTCTCTGTCAAGGAATCGTCAGCATAGACACCTTTTACCCTATTTTCTTGAGTGCCACGTTCAGGCGGCCTGAGGGAGCGTCAAGGTAGAATGTGGCGAGCAAGATCGCCTCCTGCCGGCAGAAATGATCATCGCACGGAAGTACCAGTGTGGCACTTGGTCGACAGGACTGCTTAGGGGAGGAGGGAAATACTTAACTTTCTCGGGCAATGCATGGGTGACAATGTTTATGTGGTCACCGTAGGAAACGAATGAGAGCTCCACACTCACCCAGTTGAGAAAAAAATGTTCTCATGTCTACTGCAACTGTCCTGGAATTCTCTGTGTTGTTCAGTAAATACTACTTTAAATAATAATATTTTTAGGTCGGGCGTGGTGGCTCACACCTGTAATCCCAACACTTTGGGAGGCCGAGGCCGGTGGATCACGAGGTCAAGAGATCGAGACCATCCTGGTCAACATGGTGAAACCCTGTCTCTACTAAAAATATACAAAAAATGAGCTGGGCACGGTAACGCGTGCCTGTAATCCCAGCTACTCAGGAGGCTGAGGCAGGAGAATTGCCTGAACCCAGGAGGCGGAGGTTGTGGTGAGCCGAGATTGAGTCATTGCACTCCAGCCTGGGTAACAAAAGCGAAACTCTGTCTCAAAAAAAAAAAAAAAAAAAAAAAAAAAAAATTTATTACAATTAAATTTAAAATATAAAATTAAATGTTAATATTTAAGGAAACATTAAAATCTTTTATTATAAATAATATATTATATATAACATATATTACTATAAATAATATTTTGAATAATATAGAAAACGTTTTAAATGATATATTTTTAAGCTCATCTTCTTGTGACATAGAAGCTCTAAAAAGACATTTTATTGATTTATGGTTTATTAAATTTTCTCTCTTTTTTTGAGACAGAGTTTTACTCTGTCACTCAGGCTGGAGTGCAGTGGTAAGATCTTGGCTCACTGCAATCTCCATCTCTTGGGTTCAAGTGATTCTCTGCCTCAGCCTCTCGAGTAGCTGGGACTACAGGTGTGTGCCACCATGCCCAGCTAATTTCTGTATTTTTAGCAGAGATGGGGTTCCACCATGTTGGCCAGACTGGTCTCAAACTCCTGACCTCAAGTGATCCACCTGCCTCGGCCTCCCAAAGTGCTGGGATTACAGGCATGAGACACCATGCCTGGCCTATGCCTATTTTTAAAATTTCTTTTGTAGAGATAGCAGGGTCTCACTATGTTGCCCAGGCTGGTTTTGAACCCCTGAGATCATGGGCTCCTTCTGTCTTGGCCTCTCAAAGTGCTGGGATTATAGATATGAGCCACCATACCTGCCCAGATTAAATATATTAAACTGGCTTTGTTCTCTGATCAGTAGAGTGGGACTTGGTTGTCACAAGAGTATTTCCAGAAGTTTTGCCTTTTATTGTGCAAGCTTTTTATAGCCACGTTGACCTCTCCTACTCAGGCAAACACGTCTGCTTCGTCCCGGTTTTCTGGTTCTCAGGTGAGGGAAGTGGCTGCCTCGCTCTTGGAGAGGTCACACCAGGCTGGGCCTTACAGATCCATTCATAGAGGCCCCACGATATCCTTGAATTTGACACAGGTGCCAGAGTCTGTACAATTTTTTGGTTTATCTAAATAACCAAAGAGCTCCATAGGCTCTAATTTTTCTGAGGCTGGAGAAGGGCTATTTGAAAGTTGTTGGCATAGTTCTGTTTCTGGAGGTTAAGGGATCCGTGTGTGTGTGTGTGTGTGTGTGTGTGTGTGTGTGAGATGGAGTATTTTCTGTGTCACCCAGGCTGGAGTGCAGTGGCATGATCTCGGCTCACTGCAGCCTCCGCCTCTTCTCAGGTTCAAGCTATTCTCTTTCCTTAGCCTCCTGAGTAGTGTGCACCACCACGCCTGGTTAATTTTTGTATTTTTAGTGGAGATGGGGTTTTGTCATGTTGGCCAGGCTGGTCTCAAACTCCTGATCTCAGTGATCTGCCCACCTCAGCCTTCCAAAGTGCTGGGGTTACAGGCATGAGCCACTGTTCATGTTGTGATCAGTTGTGAAGTAGCTTCCTTTGCTTGGGGAAAATTTACAGGATAGGCCCATTAGTTACACAGATGTAAGAGATTTTGGTGACAACTGTGTCATGGCTTGTAACCAGAATACCCATGCTTCAGACCAAGATATCCTGTCAAGCCACAAGAATGGTGGAGGCATCTTTAGCCCCACTGTGTTCTTACAGCATTAGAGGCGCTGGGCCTTAAAGATCCATTCAAGCTGCCCTGTCTCTAAACAGGGTGATTTGTGCTTGGGGGATTTGGGTGTCCAAGTCTCACTCACAGATCAGGAGCAGAGGCTGACCCAAACAAGGAGAATAGGGGAGTGGAACCAGGCAGGGGGTCCTAGGGGCCCTGAGCCAGGAATGAGGGACCTCTCTCTGGAGGGGAAGGGGCTATTCTTGGCCTTCACAAGGCGGGCATTGTCTGAGGCACTCCTGTGGCTGATGGGTAGGCTGACCTGTCAATCAGTGGAGAGAGAGACTCAAGGAGAGAGAGACCCTTGAATCCACAATCAGATTCTCCGGAGCCATGACCCAAGAACCTGATTTCTCAAACTAGAGCCACAGGGTGGGGCATTGCTTGAACTGGGTGCTTCACAGCCTTGGCTACATTCTAGAATCTTTAGGGGAGCTTTAAATAACACAGATGCAACCAGACACCGTGGTTCATGCCTGCAATCCCATGACTTTGGGAGGCCGAGGCAGGCAGATACTTGAGGTCAGGAGTTCAAGACCAGCATGCACAACATGGTGAGATTCCTGTCTCTACTAAAAATACAAAAATTAGCTGGATGTGGTGTTGCATGCCTGAAGTCTTCAGCTACTCAGGAGGCTGAGACAGGAGAATCGCTTGAACCCGGGAAATGGAGGTTGTAGTGAGCAGCAGAGATCACACCACTGCACTCCAGCCTGGTCAACAGAGTGAGACTCCGTCTCAAAAAACAAAACAAAACAAAAAAACTACAGATGCCCAGTATACACTTCAAAGGATAGAAAACATACTAAACAAACACGTGTACACTGACATTCATAGCAGCACTACTCCCAATAGAGAAAAAAGATGAAAACAACCCCAGGGTCCATCAGTGATTGAATGAATAAAGAATTGTTCTGTACCCAATACTATTCAGCTGTAAAAAGGAATGAATACGACAGAAGCTCAGAGCATTCACCCAAGTGAAAGAAGTGGTGGAAAAGGTCACATTTCGTATGATTCCTATTCTATGAAATGTCCAGAGTAGTAAAACCCATAAAGAGAGAAAGCAGATTCGTGTTCATCAGGGACTGCGGGAAGGTGGAATGGGCAGTGCTGTGGAATGGGTTCACAGGGTCTTATTTTGGGGGTGATGAAAATGTTTTGAAACCAAGTAGAGGGGGTGGTTGGATGACAGTGTGAATGTGGGAAATGCCACTGCACTATTCACTTTAAAGTGTTAATTTTATGGTATGTGAATTTCACTTCAATTTTAAAAAAATCATAACGATATTTTAAAAACATATGAATGCCCAGGCCCCACTGCAGCCCAGTGAAACCTGAGCCTCTAGGGGTGGGGCCAGACATGAAGGAATCTCCCAGGGCGGCCAGGCTGAGAGGCACACTCACAGGCGATTTGCTGTGGATTGGCTCCCATCTGGTCCTTCTTCAGGTCTCATTTAGATGTCTTTTCCTTCAGAAAGTTGTCTTCAAGGGAGCCCCCTCCTCCCCCACTCCCCACTCAGTGAGTGACACACCCCTTCCCCCCACACTTCATCACACCCAGAACAGTCTTCTTCCAGAGTGCCCTCAACTCAATTGCCACCATCTGTTACCCCTCACCCTCACCCCAGATCACCAGCTTTCTTGGGGCAAGCACCATTCTTCCTTTTATTTCAGTTTCTCCAGGACTTGACACAGAGGGGAGCCTACGAAAATGTGGAATGAATGCGTGAATGCGTGAAGGAATAAAAGACAGTGATAAACCACTTTGTGAGTGAATCGGTGTGAATGAGTGAGTGAATGGAAGCGAAGTTCACAGGTCCCTTGTAGCATTTCTTTCATCCACGTAGCTTGTCCAGAGCTTTCAAAACAACTTAACAACTTCTGAAAGGTTCTTTTGGGAGCAGGACTTTGATTTCTCTTATATGTTTATTTCTGCAAAGTTGAGTAGCTTTACTGCTGGCAGATAGAAGGTGTTCCCAATTTCTTAATTGTCAAGCGTCTCTTGGCAGGACATCTAGGCTCTGCACACTGGATTCACCTGGGGGGATTTAACACCATACTGATGCTGGGTCCCACACGCAATGTCTGAGTCAATTAGTGTGGAGTAGTCAGATGGCGATTATTAAAAAGTCAAGAAACAATAGATGCTGGCAAGGCTGCGGAGAAATAGGAATGCTTTTACACTGCTGGTGGGAATGTAAATTAATTCAACCACTGTGGAAGGCAGTGTGGCAATTCCTTAAGGATCTAGAACCAGAACTATTGACCCAGCCATCCCTTTACTGGCTATATACCCAAAGGAATAGAAATCATTCTATTATAAAGGTACATGCACACGTATGTTTACTGCAGCACTATTCGCAAGAGCAAAGACTTGGAACCAACCCAAATGCCCATCAATGATAGACTGGATAAAGCAAATGTGGTACATACACCATGGAATACTATGCAGCCATAAAAAAGGAATGAGATCATGTTCTTTGCAGAAACATAGATGAAGCTGGAAGCCATCATTTTCAGCAAACTAACACAGGAACAGAAAACCAAACACCGCATGTTCTCACTGATAAGTGGGAGATGAACAATGAGAACACATGGATACAGGGAGGGGAACATCACACACTGGGGCCTGTTGAGAGGGCAGGGGCGGGAGAGCATCTGGACTAATAGCTAATGCATGCGGGGCTTAATACCTATGTCGACAGGTGCAGCAAACCACCATGACACATGTTTACCTACATAAAAAGCCTACATGTTCTGCACATGTATCCTGGAACTGAAAATAAACTTTTAAAAAATTGGTCTTGGGTGTGAATGGAAGATTCTAAAAGGCCCCCAGATGATTCTAATGTGCAGCCAAGATCACAAACCACTGCATTAATGCTTGGTCAAAGTTTTTTTACATAGTTTTTTTAAAAATAGGGACTGGGACTCGCTGTCACTCAGGCTAGAGTGCAGTGGCACAATCATGCTCACGGCAGCCTTGATCTCCTGGGCTCAAGCAATTCTCCCACCTCAGCCTGCAGAGTAGCTGGGACTACTGGTGTGTGCCACTATGCCTGGCTAGTTTTATTTTTAAAGTCCTGAGCCATTCAGAAGCTCACTCTAATATTCCCTTACATGGAAATAGAAGGATGTTTAGTACAATGGTGGTAGACGCCTTGATTTTGCTCTAGAATTTGATGCCATTGCTTTGAGTCTTACTATCTTTGGGACCTGAAAGCTGGTAGCTTGTTGGGATAATAGGCGTGAGTCACAGCACCTGACCCCACTTGCTCTTGCAAAATAGTTTAATGCTGCCAAAGTGAGAAAATTTTAGGGGCTTGATAAAGCTGGATGCTTATCTTTCAGAAAGTTTCTTTCCTAGTCTGTAATAAACAGATAGAGCAAGGTGAAGCCAGCATCATAATGTGACTTTCCAAGCTTTTCATAGTCACTTAGATAACAGTCTATTAAAATGCAACAGCGTGGCTCACACCTGTAATCCCAGTACTTTGGGAGGCCAAGGCAGGCAGATCACCAGAGGTTGGGAGTTCGAGACCAGCCTGACCAACATGGAGAAACCCCGTCTCTACTGAAAATACAAAATTAGCTGGGCATGGTGGTGCATGCCTGTAATCCCAGCTACTCAGGAGGCTGAGGCAGGAGACTCTCTTGAACCCGGGAGGCGGAGGTTGCAGTGAGCCCAGATCAGTGGGCAAAAAGAGTGAAATTGGGTCTCAAAAAAAAAAAAATGCAACAACACATTTTATATTTATAGCTAAAACATCTTTCTTACCTCCATCTGTTTGTTTTGTTAAAATTATTATACCTTGCTTTTGAAGAAACAAAATGTCTAACCTCCATGTTTTGGTTAAATAAGCTTAAATATTTGTTGTTTTGGATGATATTTTGTTGGCAATATTTGTTGTTTCTCTTAGTACAATGTGTAAAAAAAATCCACTTCTATATTCATGACTAATTCTTTTTTTTTTTTGAGATGGATTTTCACTGTCGTTACCCAGACTGGAGTGCAATGGCACGTTCTCGGCTCACCACAACCTCCGCCTCCTGGGTTCAAGCAATTCTCCTGCCTCAGCCTCCCAAGTAGCTGGGACTACAGGCACGCGCCACCATGCCCAGCTAATTTTTGTATTTTTAGTAGAGACGGGGTTTCACCATGTTGACCAGGATGGTCTTGATCTCTTGACCTCATGATCCACCCGTCTTGGCCTCCCAAAGTGCTGGGATTATAGGTGTGAGCCACCGTGCCCGGCCTCATGACTAATTCTTAAATTATATATGGTCTGTCCAATGACTTCACAAATACTAGCTTTCCTTAGTTTGGATTTTTAAAATTATTATACTAAAAAACACATTACATAAAATCGACCATAACAGAAAATCGACCACTTTATTATAGATTTTTTTATTTATTAAAAATTTTTTTGAGACAGAGTCTCACTCTATCATCCAGGCTGGAGTGCAGTGGAGCTGTCTCAGCTGACTGTGGCCTCAACCTCCTGGACTCAAGCGATCCTCTCACCTCAGCCTCCTGAGTAGCTGGGACCACCATGCCTGGCTAATTTTTGTGTGTGTGTATATTTTTTGTAGAGACAAGGTTTCACCATGTTGCCCAGCCTGGTTACCCATTTTAAAGTGTATGATTTAGACATGTTAAGTACATTCTCAATATTTTGCCACCATCAGCACTATCTCGCTCCAGAACTTTTTCATCACCCCTCTACCCCTCATTTTCTACTCTCTCTCTCTGCAGGATTCCATTTATATAAAATTTCCAGAGTAGGCAAATCCACAGATGCAGAAAGCAGATTAGTGGTTGCCGGTTGGGTGGGGATGGGGAGAAATAGGGAATGGTGATGGGGTCTTTTCTTTTCTTTTCCTTTCTTTTCTTTTTTAGACAGAGTCTCTTGCTGTCACCCAGGCTGGAGTGCAGTGGTGCGATCTCAGCTTGCTGCAACCTCCACCTGCTGGGCTCAAGCAATCCTCCCACCTCAGCCTCCCAAGTAGCCAGGACTACAGGTGTGCACAAGCATGTCTGACTAATTTTTGTATTTTTAGTAGAGACGGGATTTCACCAAGTTGTCCAGGCTGGTCTCAAACTCCTGACCTCCCTTTCTAAGTGGTGGGATTGAAGTTGTGAGCCACCACCTGGCCAAGGAATGGGGTTTTTTTCAATGGTAATAAAAATGTTGTAAGACTGGTCATGGTGATGGATGCACCCACTTGTGAACACGGTAAAAGCCACTCATTTTGCACCTTAAGTGGGTAAATTGTATGGTGGGATGTGAATTATATGTCAATATATCTGCCTTTTAACAAAAACCAACAAAACGCTTTATGTCAAATGTATTGAGCTCCAAATAAGCCTTGGAGTGGTGATACTTACTGCTTTTTGTCTTTAAGCATTCTACATAGCTAAAGCATTGGACTCTGGGGAATTTAACAAAATGGGCACCTGGCTTCAGGCGGCTCTCCCAGGGAAAACAGAGCTCCTCATCCCTACTTTGTGGGCAGACCTGACTGCTGTGTTTCATTTTTCTTACTCAGCAGACTAGGCATTTTCCTCTGAGTATAGCTCTAGTGTTATCCATGAGATTTTTATAGGTAGTGTTTTCATTAGCATTATTTCCCAATAAAAATAAACTTATTTTTGTTCTAGAGTAGTTTGATAGAAAGGCTTGACATTCTCAAATGTCTTTCTGCATCTGCTTTTTATTTTATTTTTTGTTGCCAACTACAAAAGATGTCCAATGCATCTACTTTTAACTTATTTCTTGGGTTCTTGCCTTATGATCAGGAATATGACTGTACAATTTCCAATTTGTTATATACAATGGGCTTTCCCATTTTAAATTTTTTTTTTTTTTTTTTTTTTGAGACAGAGTCTTGCTTTGTTGCCAGGCACCTGGCTAGAGTGCAGTGGTGCAGTCTCGGCTCACTGCAACCTCCCGGGTTCAAGCAATTCTCCTGCCTCAGCTTCCTGAGTAGCTGGGACTGACTACAGGCACATGCCACCACACCTGGCTAATTTTTGTATTTTTTAGTAGAGATGGAGTTGCACCATGTTGGCCAGGATGGGATCTCTTGACCTCGTGATCCGCCCGCCTCGGCCTCCCAAAGTGCTGGGATGACAGTTGTGAGCCACCACTCTGGCCTCCATGGTATGTATATACCACATTTTGTTTACCCATTCATCAATGGACATCGTTATACCTTTCTCCATGTAACTGAAAAGAAGTCTACTCTTTTCAAAGGATAGAGTTCAGAACGTTTAGTCATTATGTTCTCCTCCTCTGTAATATCCTTACTTTCTCTATTTAGTCCAAAGAAGACTGAAACCAGTGGGTGAAAGTCTACCACCACTGTTGTATTTTTATTAATTTGTCTTCGTTATTCCCTCCAATTTTACACATGGAACAGGATGCTAAAATGGGACTCCCATTTTGGCTTCAGCTGAGACTCCAAAGTGGAGTGAGATCAGTGCAACAGACGCCAAGAACTCTCCCTCCTAAACTGGGGAGATGGATTGCCTATGTAGGACATGCTGGCAACCTGTAAAAATGACTAATCCCACAATGAGCAGTAAATGAGATAAAGTACAAAGAGAATTTATAGGAGATTTCTATGGTATAATTTTATGCCATTGTTAAAAGCTGTGCTTTTGAAGAACAATAGTATGCAAAAGAGATCATAACCTACTATTAATGGAAAAAAAGCACAGGACACAAAACTATATGCTTAATCCTAATTGTATGAAATACACGCACAGAAAAAAGACAGGAAACGAATAACCTAATTGGGACTTCAGCTACTTTTACTTTTCTTCTTGACATTTGTCTGAATTTTAGAAATTTTCTACAATAGATATGTGTTGGTTTCTTTCTTTCTTTTTTTATTTGAGATGGAGTCTTGCTCTGTCACCCACGCTGGAGTGCAGTGGCACGATCTCGGTTCCCTGCAACCTCCGCTTCCGGGGTTCAAGTGATTCTCCTGCCTCAGCCCCCCAAGTAGCTGGGACTACAGGCATATGTCACCACTCCTGGCTAATTTTTGTATTTTTAGTAGAGACGGGGTTTCATCATGTTGGCCAGGCTGGTTTCAAATTCCTGGCCTCAAGTGATCTGCCTGCCTCAGCCTCCCAAAGTGTTGGAATTACAGGCATGAGCCACCATGCCTGGCCATTTTTAATCATTTTTGAGGTTAGAAAAAATACTTTTAAAAAGATAATTCAAATATCCAAATAATCACCTTTCTTTGATATCTTTGCTCTCCAATTTACAACCACTGTATGAATGAAAAACAATTGATTTGGGATCAGTCTTCCTCTTAAACGAGGCCCCAGAGGCAGGTGGGTGGGCCAGCAACCTGGCCTCATTAGCAGCACCTTTCACAGCAGCTTCGGTCGCTTGTTTTCCCAGTAAATGGCCAGAATATTCCATAAGGATGTGTCAAGTTTGCCCACTTTGTTCTCCTGTATTTACTTGCAGCTGGTGCTGGGACCAGTGCAGTAGTTGTAGTTTTACGTTTAATTACAGCTGAGAAACTCAGTTGCCATAGATACGCAGGGCTAGGATGATGTTACTGTTGCCATTTGCCTTATGAGCTGGTTAAAACTGACCTTTAAAAATCTAAGCTTAATTATCTTTACTGCCAAAATAGGCCCCCAGGGACTGTGCCTTATGAAGTCATATTTTGACAATCATTTCCTTCTTTTCTAATCATTAAACTTTATTTTCTGGATCTGCCATGAAATAACACATGGGGCCTCGCTAAACTGCACATTTTCAGACAAGACAAAAAACTGTATTTGCATCCCCCCTTTTCCCTGGAGAAGAGGGAGCTAAATGAAGTCTGAGGAATACTTACTGGCTTATTTCCAGTGGGCTTACTTGTTGGGGGCAAAAATGTGGGGGTGGGAGGTTGGGGGTGGAGTGAAGATTGTGATTATCCGAGGTGCACCCCTCTTCTTCCTCAACACAGCACTATCTTGTTGTATATGTGCTTTGGAAAACAGGTTCTATAATGAAGTTCGCTGTAGTTTGAAATGTTAAGCATCCTCAGAAGTCAGGCGATGCACCAGCCATGTTCCCACAACGCATGCCCATGTGCACAGCTGCAGAGCCCCTCGCTCCACCAGTAGCTTCTGCACGTCCACAGCAGTTGAATGCACATCTTCATTCATTCATTCTTTGAACAAATGTCCTAGAAACTGTGGATACAGCAGTGAACAAGAGAGACATTAGCTTTATGGATCTACTTTGAATGGGGGAGGCTGAACTAATACCCTCAGAAGCAACTCTACAATCCCCCTGGTGTTAGGTGCTATGAGGAAAAAACACAGGGTGCCATTAAGAACCTTTCTCCTTCCCTCCCTCCCTCCCTCCCTCCCTCCCTCCCTTCCTTCCTTCCTTCCTTCCTTCCTTCCTTCCTTCCTTCCTTCCTTCCTTCCTTCCTTCTTCCCTCCCTCCTCTCTCTCTCTCTCTCTTTCTCGACAGAGTCTTACTTTGTCACCCAGGCTGAAGTGCAGTGGCACAATCTCGGCTCATTGCAACCTCTGCCTTCTGGGTTCAAGCGATTCTCCTGCTTCAGCCTCCCAAGTAGCTGGGATTTCAGGCGTCCACCATCACGCCCAGCTAATTTTTGTATTTTTAGTAGAGACTAGGTTTCACCACGTTGGCCAGGCTGGTCTTGAACTCCTGACCTCAGCTGATCTGCCCTCCTCAGCCTCCCAAAGTGCTGGGATTACCGTCGAGAGCCACCGTGTCTGGCCAAGAACCTATTTCTGATCTATGGCATGGGTTTTACGCAGCCTCTCCAAGGAAGTGACATTTCAATTAAGACCTGAACAGTGGCACTCCAGAATTTCTGTACAGGAGATGATTTGGGACAGTAATCAGAGTAGATGAAAGGGACTGAAGCTATATGTCTTTGAGAAAATAGCAATTGCTGTCAGGAAAGGAAGGTGATGGATAAGCTCCCCTCCTTTATCGCGCCTTTATCACAGTATTGGGCATGACAAATAAGGTATTCAAAGAGCAAGTGCAAAATGCCCTGAGGTCAGTCTCCTAGTGGGATATTTGGATAAAAGATCTAAATACAGGCAGGGCACAGTGGCTCACCCCCGTAATCCCAGCACTTTGGGAGCCTGAGGTGGGCAGATCACAAGGTCATGAGTTCAAGACCAGCCTAACTAACATGGTGAAACCCCATCTCTATTACAAATGCAAAAATTAGCCAGGCGTGGTGGCGGGTGCCTGTAGTCCCAAACACTTGGGAGGCTAAGGCAGGAGAATCGCTTACACCCAGGAGATGGAGGTTGCAGTGAGCCAAGATCATGCCATTGTACTCCAGCCTGGGTGACAGTGAGACTCCATCTCAAAAAAAAATATATATATATACAAACACAAATTATCATCATTGTAAACCAGTGATTCTTCTTGGTCTCAGGACCCCTTTACTCTATAAAAATTATTGAGAACTCTAAAGAGCTTTCATTTATACAGACTATATCTACCAAAAATAAATTCCCCCTTAGAAATTAAAACTGAGGCCAGGTGTGGTGGCTTACGCCTATAATCCCAACACTTTGGGAGGAGGAGGCCGAGGCAGGAGAATTGCTGGTGCCCAGTGGTGGAGGCTGCAATGACCTATGATTGTACCACTGTGCTGCAGCTTGGTGGGACAGAGTGAGACACTTTGTGGAAAAAAAAAAAGTTGGGCGCAGTGGCTCATGCCTGTAATCCCAGGACTTTTGGAGACAGATCACTGAAGCCCAGGAGTTCAAGACTAGTCTTGGCAACATAGTGAGACCCTGTCTCTCCAAAATACACAAAAAAATTAGCTGGGTGTGGCCCCAGTTACTTGGGAAGCTGAGGTGAGATCGCTTGAGCCCGGGAGGCAGAGGCAACTGTGAGCTGCTGGACTCCAGCATGGGCTGCAGAGCAAGACTCTATCTCAAGGAAAAAACAAACTGAGAAAGCTTAAAAACCATTAGTTATTCATTCTTCTAAAAATAATAAACCAATTACATATTAATACAGCATATTTTTGTGGAAAATATATTTTCTGGAACAAAAACAATTTGGGCAAGGTGTGGCATTATTTTACATTTTTATCAATATTCTAAATATCTGGCTTAATAGAAGACAGCTGAATTCTTAAATCAGCCTCTGCATTCAACCTCTTGTAATATGCTGTCATTTAGTTGACATATATTGTTAGAGTCTGAATTATGTCCCCACTACCTTGGAATGTGACTATATTTGGACAGCGTCTTTACAGGTATAATTAAGTTGAAAATGAAAATATCAAGGTGGACCCTAATCTACTAACAGGTGTCCTTATCAGAGGAGGATATTTGGACACAGGCATAGAGCGAAGACCACATAAAGACACTAGAAGCAGCTGGGTGTGGTGGCTTATGCTTGTAATCCCAGCAGTTTGGGAGGCTGAGGCAGGTGGATCACGAAGTCAAGAGATCGAGACCATCCTGGCCAACATGGTGAAATGGTCTCTACTAAAAATACAAAGATAAGTGGGACGTGAAGGCAAGCGCCTATAGTCCCAGCTACTTGGGAGGCTGAGGCAGGAGAATTGCTTGAACCCGGGAGGCGGGGGTTATAGTGAGCCAAGATCGTGCCACTGCACTTCAGCCTGGGTGACACAGCGAGACTCTGTCTCAAAAAACAACAACAAAAAACAAAACAAAACAAAACAAAAATGCCAGAAGCATGCAGCCATCACAAGCCAAGGAGGGAGGTCTCAGGAGAAATCAGCCCTGTGGATACCCTAATCTTGGAACTTTCAGCCTTTAGAGTTGTGAGACAATAAATTTCTGCTCGTGAAGCTACTTGGTCTGTGATACTTTGTTCAGGCAGCCCTATCAGGCTAATATATATATGAAGAGAGTCTGGCCTCATACAGATAGGTATAGTTACAAAATTTCAGATGTTTAAGGCTTTTTTGGATCATTGTAGATAGCCTTCTTTGACTATACCCAAATTTTTTTTTTTTTGAGACAGGGTCTTGCTCTACTGTCCAGGCTGGAATGCAGTGGCACAATCTCAGCTCACCGCAACTTCTGCCTCCTGGGTTCAAGCAATTCTCCTGCCTCAGCTTCCTGAGTAGCTGGGATTATAGCTGTGTGCTAGCATGCTGGGCTAATTTTTGTATTTTTAGCAGAAATGAGATTTCACCATGTTAGCCAGGCTGGTCTTGAACCCCTGACATCAGGTGATCCTCCCACCTTGGCCTCCCAAACTGCTGGGATTGCAAGTGCAAGCCACTGTGCCCGGCCCAAGTATGCAGACTTGACAACTGATGGTTTATCTTATAGGTTAGCTGCACGTGGACTCTGAAGCGACATCAATGACTATTTCATATTCTCTTATATTAAAATCCATTATTTTGCTTTGCTTTCTTTTTTTTTTCTTTTGAGAGGGAGTCTCATTCTTTTTTTTTTTTTTTTTAGACGGAGTTTCACTCTCCATGCCGAGCTATTTTTTGTATTCTTAGTAGAGACGGGGTTTCACCATGTTGACCAGGATGGTCTTGATCTCTTGACCTTGTGATCCACCCGCCTTGGCCTCCCAAAGTGCTGGGATTACAGGCGTGAGCCACTGTGCCCGGCCGAGAGGGAGTCTCATTCTGTGGCCCAGGCTGGAAGCGCAGTAGTGCAATCTCAGCTCACTGCAACTTCTGCCTCCCTGGCTTAAGCTACTCTCCTGCCTCAGCCTCCTGAGTAGCTGGGATTACAGGCCTGCACCACTATGCCCAGCTAACTCTTCTGTTTTTAGTAGAGACGGGGTTTCGCCATGTTGACCAGGTTAGTCTCGAACTCCCGACCTCAGGTTATCCGCCCGCCTCTGGGATTACAGGTGTGAGCTGGGATTACAGGTGTGAGCTGCCGTGCCCAGCTTGCACTTGCTTTTTTGATGGATCTTGACTTATGCATGGTTTTGTCACATTGTGTTTTGGTCATTTGGGAAATACTGGTTTGTGGAGTAATGCAGGTTTTCCAAATGTTATACACAGTTTAAAAACCACGTGTGGCAATGTCACCACCAATCTCATCAGAAAAGTATGTCAAGTATTGGAAACTGCCCATGCTTACAGTGGTGGACACAGGTTTCCCAAATGCTAATTTTCATTTGAAAGCTCAACTTTTATCATTGCCAACAAATATTTCAGTTTTTCTCCTTGAAGTGACAGCTCATTCCTTTTATTTTCAAGAAAATATCGACCAAATACTCAAATCTGAGTAACCATGGTTTTTCTGACAATCATTCTTTTAAGTAGAAATCAAGTTCTATCATCAAGGGGCTGGTAGGCTGGCAGCTCAGGCACAGAATATGTGGCCTGGAGGTGACCATTGTCCTTTGGTTTGCAGAAGAGCCTTTTAATTCATCACACAGAATATTAAAAAATCATGCACTCCAAAGTCAAGCTGTCATAGAATTAATAATCTCAATGATTTCATCATAGGCATTTTTTTTTTTTTTTTTTTTGAGTCAGAGTTTCGCTCTTGTTACCCAGGCTGGAGTGCAATGGTGCAATCTCGGCTCGCCGCAACCTCTGCCTCCTGGGTTCAGGCAATTCTCCTGCCTCAGCCTCCTGAGTAGCTGGGATTACAGGCATGCACCACCATGCCCAGCTAATTTTTTGCATTTTTAGTAGAGACGGGGTTTCACCATGTTGACCAGGATGGTCTCGATCTCTTGACCTCGTGATTCACCTGCCTCGGCCTCCCAAAGTGCTGGGATTACAGGCGCGAGCCGCCATGCCCGGCCCATCACAGGCATTTTTAAGTGAAACTGGCTTTTCCTCTCACCATGAGGTGTATGGGGGTGAAAAAACAGGCCAAGTTCATCTTTGGATTCCTGTCCTGTCTGATTTACTTTCAAAATATACCTTGAATCTGACCACTTCTCACTAAAAACCACTTTTACCCCCAGGCCTGAGCCTCCACCATCTCCTTGGATTGCTGCAGAGGCTCTCAGACAGAAGTCCCCCCTCCACCACTGCAGCCGATTCCAAGCTATTCTCCACGCAGTAACCTCCTCCCCTGAACACCCTCTCCAAGATAGCACACACACACCACCCCCAGTCTGGCTTTATTTTTCTTCCTAGCACTGTAGAAGGTGAGCTCCCTCAGGAAGGACTTTGTTTGGTGCATCTGTCTAGAGCCATGTCCAGCACCTAGTAGTTGCTCAATAAACATTGTTGGATGAATGAAAAAGAATTCCCAAGAGTGCCAGTTCCCAGCGACAACTCCCCTAACTAAATGGGAAAAAGACGCCTTTCCTCTTGCTCTTCCTCTCTCCCTCCATCTTTGTGCTTTCGGGACAGGTCTGGTGCTTGACTTGGGAATATAAAGGCAAATAAAACACACAGCCCCTCCCTTCAGGAACCTCCTGTTTCAGTGCAGAGGACAGAACCAATTTTCTTCACTGAACCACAGGCTATTCTGATGTGGTTCAATGGATAAAAGCCCAGGACTTGAAGTGGCAGAGACCTGGCTTTGGAGCCTGGGTCTTAACCTTTCTGAGCCTCAGTTCCCTCATCTGTAATATGGTAATAATAGTTTGTTGTGAAAATTGAATGAGATAACATAATTAGATGTTTTGCATATTGATTATTAATGGTAGCTATTTTTAAGTGGTGACGGTAGAATCTATGTCTTGAGGACTAGATTTTTTTTTTTTTTCTTTTTTTGAGACAGGGTCTCCCTCTGTTGCCCAGGCTGGAGTGCAGTGGTGCGATGTCAGCTCACCGCAACCTCCACCTCCCAGGCTCAAGTGTTTATCATGCCTCAGCCTCCTAAGTAGCTGGGATTACAGGTGCGCACCACCATGCCCTGCTGATTTTTGTATTTTTTAGCAGAGACAAGGTTTTATCATGTTGGCTAGACTGGTCTTGAACGCCTGACCTCAGGTATCTGAGCCTCCCAAAGTGCTGGGATTACAGGTGTGATCCCAGCCCAACCATGCCCAAACTTAACAATTGATGGTTTATCTTATAGGTTAGCTGCATGTGGACTCTGAAGCCACATCAATGACTTTTTTTGTATTCTCTTACATTAAAGTCTATTATTTTGCTTTGCTTTCTCTTTGTTTTCTTTTGAGACGGAGTCTTGCTCTGTTGCCCAGGTTGCAAGTGCGGTGGTGCAATCTTGGCTCACTGCAACCTCTGCTTCCTGGGCTCAAGCTACTCTCCTGCCTTAGCCTCCTGAGTAGCTGGGATTACAGGCATGCACCACAATGCCTGGCTGATTTTTGGAGGCTCATTTTTGGAGAAGATGGGGTTTCATTCATTTTGGCCAGGCTAGTCTCAAACTCCTGACCTCAAGTGATCTGCCTGCTTTGGCCTCTCAAAGTACTGGGATTACAAGTGTGAGCCACCAGGCCTGACTGAGGACTTAAAAACACACCCAGAGAATTCACCAGAGAGGCGGGTGCAGGGGTGGAGACAGGGTAGGGGAGCCTATGGGAGCAAGGCACATGGGCCCATGTCTGGGGTCTTGCTGACTTGGTGAAATGTAGTGTGGTGAGTGGCTGAGGTCTGGAGGGACTGGGATGGCACTCGATGGGTTGGCAGGAGCTGGGGATCAGGCCTAGGGAGCTTCTTGCCAGCAGGCAGGGAGGGGAGACCGAGGCAAAGCTGCCTGGAGCCAGATGTCTGGCAGCAAGGTTGGGGGTGGATTGGAGGAGGCAGGGAGGCCAGGGAGGGTCAGGACCACAGGATGTCATGGGGGTGGCAGGGGTGGGGCTGGCAGACAAGGAGGCTGGGGAAGAAAACAGCATTGGAAAAAAACTCAAGCACCATGGTGAGAACTGGGACACTCTTCCTGCTTGAACTGTCAGTTAAGGTACCCAGGGGTAAGCTCCAAGCCCCCCAGTGGATGCCTGAAACCATGAATAGTACCAAACTCCACATATATGACATATTTTTCCTATACATAGGTAGTGTTGATAAAGTTAAATTTATAAATTAGACACAGTAAGAGATTAACAACATAATAAAATAGAACAATTGGCCTGGTGCAGAGGCTCATGCCTGTAAGCCCAGCACTTTGAGAAGCCAACACGGGCAGATCACTTGAGGTTAGGAGTTCGAGACCAGCCTGGCCAGCATGGTGAAACCCTGTCTCTACTAAAAATACAAAAATTAGCTGGGTGTGTGGCACATACCTGTAATCCAAGCTACTCAGGAGGCTGAAGCAGGAGAATCGCTTGAACCCGGGAGGTGAAGGTTGCAGTGAGCCGAGATCACACCACTGCACTCCAGCCTGGGTGACACCGTCTCAAACAAACAAATAAATAAATAATATTATAACAACATACTGTAATAAACGTTATGTGAATGTGGTCTCTCTATTAAAATATCTTAAGGTCCTGGACTTACCCTTTTTCTTGTGATTCAGAAGGGATGAAGCAGGGTGGTGTGAGATTTCGTTCCTACTGAGAAGGATGCACCATTTCAAACTTAACAAATTGTTTATTTCTGAAATTTTTCACTTAATATTTTTGGACCGTTGTTGACTATGGGTAACTGAAACCATGGATAAGGTGCGGTGGGGGGCGGCTACTGCATTTGTCGCCTGTAAGTGCCTGTCCCTCCTATCTATCTCAGAAAGATGATACCGATAATCGAGGATGTCTATTTCTGCAACGAGGCAGAATATTTTAACAGCCAGTCTGACAGATGGGTCCCCGGTCTCTTCATGTTGCTTTATTTTACAGGGAGGGACACGTGGAGTCCTTCCTTAGTTGGTTGGTTTAGACACATTATACTTGGTTCTAAAAAAAAAGATCTCCTTCTAACTTTTATTCAGTAAGTGCTTATTGGCTGATAAATATTAAAGATATCATCTATTGTTTGAAACACAATAATCTTTGTGACTATTTATAATAGAATGTTCTTAAAATTAACTGTGCTCCTCTGAGCTCCACAGAAAGGCCAGAAGCATTACAGCCTGCCTTCCGCAAACATTCCTTATTGTATAAAAGTAAGACATGCTTATGAAAGAAAAAGCACACAATTAAATGGAGTCAAAAGTAAAAGATCTCTATCTCCTCCCCATCATCCCTGCATTCTTAACCCACCACTCAGAGGGGTGGCTGTAGCCCGACAGGCATTTTCTATGTGTATCTTTTTATAATGTAGTTTTAAAAAAACAGAAATGAGCTCACATCTATATCCTGTTTTGCAGCTTGCTTTTCTCTTCAACAATAGATGGCCTTTTGGAGGTCCAGGCATTGAACCGTACCCCATTCTACATTCTGGCAGAAGAGTCCTCTCTATGCAGAGGTTTTTCTTATAGGGAAGGGTGGCCTTGAGCCCAGCCATCTTTAATAGAAAAAGCAGACTCCAAATCCACCAACTTAATTTGCAAGGGGATCCTTGGAAAAAGGGCAGCTTTTGTCCTTTGTAGCGCATCAGCCTGTGGCTGGCTATATGCCTGGAACTCATGGAAACACCAAACATCCCCAGGCAGCAAGGGGGTCCCAGGAGGAACTGGGCAATGGCCAGCCCCAGAGAGCAGAAATGGGGTTTGTGACTAGATCAGATTCTTACTGTAGGAGATCCCCAGAGCCCAAAGAGAACATAGTTAGACACGTTTTCCACTTCCTCCAGGGCTTTTGTCATTGACATTGAGAAACACAATGGTAAGTTGATTTATGTCAAGGAAAAGTTCCTCCCAGGAAAACTCACTGTGTCATTCACTCAGCAGGCTCTAGCAGAGATGTTTCTTTGGTGTAATAGGTTAGCTTGTGGAATACAAAGAAAATCCTTGTTGACAAAAAGAGTCAAAGTCTGTGGAATATTTGAAGAGATTTATTTATTTGTTTGTTTGTTTATTTATTTATTTATTTGAGATGGAGTTTCGCTTGTTACCCAGGCTGGAGTGCAATGGCGCGATCTCGGCTCACCGCAACCTCCGCCTCCTGGATTCAGGCAATTCTCCTGCCTCAGCCTCCTAAGTAGCTGGGATTACAGGCACGCACCACCGTGCCCAGCTAAGTTTTTGTATTTTTAGTAGAGACGGGGTTTCATCATGCTGACCAGATGGTCTCGATCTCTTAACCTCAGGGTAACTCATATTTGGCTCAGAATAAATCTCTTCAGGCTGGGTGCGGTGGCTCATGCCTGTAATCCCAGCACTTTGGGAGGCCGAGGCGGGTGGATCACTTGAGGCCAGGAGTTCAAGATCAATCTGGCCAACATGGTGAAACCCCATCTCTACTGGGTATAATACACCCAGCTATGAATTTATGCAGATAGATACATATTTAAATATATATTTTTACATATATATTTAAAATATAAAATCTATATACTTTACATGTATATTTAAAATATAAAATATATATACCTTATGATATATATAAGGGGTGTGTGTGTTTGTGTATATATATACATATATATATATATATATATATATATATGTATACATATACACCTTATGACACCCAGTTGTCATAAGGTATCTTTATATCCTTTTAGTAATAATTTTTTGTTAATTCTATGGGAAGCAGGACATTGTTTATGATTGGGAGGAATGAAAAGGTGCCACGAATCTAGTAACCCAGGAGGCAGAGTCCCATATTTTGCCTGCTGTTTAGGCACCTGTGTACCCAACCTTGATTCGGAGGGTCTGAACTAACTCTATCCTTCAAAACCAGCCCTTACAATCTCATGTTTTTGGAGGTCCAGGCATTGAATTGCACCCTGTTCTCTGTTTCAGTGGAACACCTCTTCCACGATAATCCCTGGGCCTAGAGGTGGGGTGCTGGCATAGTTTTAGCAGCAGGACATTAGCAGTGAAAAACACATGGGGCCCAAGGGGATTCCAAATAAGGGAGATTTACAGGCTTTGTCCAATCACCTCTGGTCTTCAGAATATCATGATTCTGGCTTTCTGGGAAGAAGTACAACTATGAGAGATAAATAACATTAATAATTTGACAGTCAAAAGAGAATCTGTGTGTCAGACCAGAAAAAAGAAACATATTTCATTAGGGTGCCAACTAAAAGCATTTAGAAAATTATATCCTGGTACTCTCTAAAGGATGACTGGAGCCAAGAAATCACGCGTGATTCAATCTTCACTCAAAAACAAATGTCAGGGGTGAAATCTAGTAACAGGTGTTATACTGTTTCTTTGAAACACTATCTTTCTCTAGCTCTCCTTTTCTGCTAACATGTGCCCAAAGTGGTCAGGCTTGGTTTTATGCATTTTTGTGAGATATAAGACATTAATTAATACATGTAAGATGTACATGAGTTTGGTCCAGAAAGGCAGATTTTTGTCCTTTCGAAGCAGGACAACTGGAAGCAGGGGGGTTTCCATGTCATAAGTGGATTCAAAGATTTTCTGATTGGTAATTGGTCAAAAGACTTACTATCTAGGGCCAGGCACGGTGGCTCACACCTGTAATCCCAGCATTTTGGGAGGCCAAGGTGGGCAGACTACTTGAGACCAGGAGTTTGACATCAACCTGGCCAACATGGTGAAATGGCAGTTTTCATGGCTGTAGCCTGACAGACGTTTTCTATGCATATCTTTTTATAATGTTTAACTGAAAATTAGCTGGGTGTGGTGGTGCATGCCTATAATCCCTCTAAAGAGAAATTATAGTAAGACCAATTTGTGTGCAAAATAAGTTTTAGGCTTATTATACTTGGCCTGATTATTTACATAAAGTGCAGCAATGATTGATTGGCCTTTTTAGGTTGACTTTGCTGAAACTTTAGCTAAAAATATGTTATTCTAGGCAAAGGTTGGTAGAATAACCAATGTCTCCAATTATTTTATTTTAAAAGAAAAGACTCTTACTAAACTTATGCAAATAACGATATTGATATAAAATCAGAATACTCAAGAACAGTTTCCAAACTTTGGAGAACTCAGAGAGAAAGGTAAAATTGCTCACAAAAATATTCTTTACCCAATTGCTCTAAACTATAAATAACTCAGAAGAAAAAGACTTCCTTGCCTCGTCTTTAACCAGAGCAGCAGGTTTCCAAACAAGATGTCATTTGTTCACCTTGGAACTGCCGTTCACAAGGCAAGCAGCTCTTGTCAGATAAGAGCTGTTTATCAGGCATTGTAAAATCTAGCAGCTGCTTACATAGTTAGATCAGTCCTAGGAGAAAAGAGGCTCCCTGCTCATGAGTACCTCCACCTTGCCTCCCTAGGTAGCAAGATTTTATATAAACCATTTTTTATCACAGAATTATTTTGGGCACCATTATTTCCATTAGCATAGGGGAAGTTTTGGTTAACATCCCATAGCAAGGCAGTAAATGTTCCCAAGGGGAAATTCTCTAGTCCAGAGTCTCAGTAGTTGTCATTGGGAGATGCTCACAGCTTTTGCCATAAGCCCCAATGAACACTCCACAAAGAGCTATCAAGTGGAGGATTTGTTGCAACCAGCACTTCAGTGTTTACCCAATATTCTGTGGGCTCAGGCAATCCTACTATTTCCATTTAGCAAGTCCAATTAACATTTCTCAAAGGGCAGAGATATGGTTTGGCTGTGTCCCCACCCAAATCTCATCTTGAATTGTAGCCCCCATAATTCCCATGTCATGGGAGGGACCCAGTGGGAGGTAACTGAATTACAGTGGTGGGTCTTTCCTGTGCTGTTCTCATGATAGTGAATAAATCTCAAGAGATGGTTTTATAAAGAGGATTTCTCCTACAAATGCTCTCTTTGCCTGCTGCCGTGTAAGACGTGACTTTGCTCCTCCTTTGCCTTCTGCCATGATTTTGAGTCCTCCCCAGCCATGTGGAACTATGAGTTCATTAAACCTCTTTCCTTTATAAATTTCACAGTCTCAGGTATGTCTTTATTAGCAGCATGAGAACAGATTACTACAGGCAGATTTGCGTGCCTTCAGTTTTATAGTACTAGGTAGGGGAAACATCCCCCAGTCAGATATGATACCCATTTTCATAAGATGTTTAGGGAAGAGAGTTGCAATTACCTTAAATAAAACCTGTTTAAACATCTCAAATTTCATAATCCTATAAATCTTTACATTCTTATGTTCTGGTCCCAGGGACTTTTCTTCTCCACCCTCAAACCATTTTACCTTTTCTGGCAAAAAAAGATTTGGATTCCCAGCAGGGAGTTGAGCCAAGGGACTCAGATCCTTTTGTCAATGTTTTATCTTAATTTCTGTCAGTATTGCCCCAGGCACTGTCAGCTTTCTCGTTATAACCTTCGCCTTTTGATTTTTCTTAAATCTCCTCAATCTGGGGCAAATGCAGAAAACTAGTGTGGGCCCCTTTACCATTGGCATCATCAGCATTTGAACCAGAGCTACTCCATCTTAAATGGGGGCTGGGTAAAATGAGGCTGAGAGGTGCTTGGCTGCATTCTTAGGAGTTTAAGGCATTCTTAGTCACAGGATGAGATAGGTCAGCATAAGACACAGGTCATAAAGACCTTGCTGATAAAACAGGTTGCGGTAAAGAAGCTGGTTAAAATTCACCAAAATGAAGATGGCGACGAGAGTGACCAAGTCCTCTTCACTGCTACACTCCCACTAGCACCATAGGAGTTACAAATGCCATGGCAATGTCAGGAAGTTACCCTATATGATCTAAAAAGTGGAGGCATGAATAATCCACCTTGTTTAGCATATCATCAAGAAATAACCACAAAATGGGCAACCAGCAGCCCTTGGATCTGCTCCGTCTATGGAGTAGCCATTCTTTATTCCTTCACTTGCTTTCACTTTATACCATGGACTCGCCTTGACTTCTTTCTTGCGTGAGATCCAAGAACCCCCTCTCTTGGGATCTGGATCCAGATCCCTTTCCAGTAACATTGGGAGACCAGAGTGGCTCCCGTTGGTCCACACAAGCTTTGATAAGCATTGTAAAAACCTTTGTTTTAACCCCATCAATTTTCATTTTATTTATTTCATTTCTTAAGGACCATCTAAAGATTTCCACCCCTCTGGAATTAGTCTTTTGACTCTGTTTTGCCTTTCCCATTTTTTTTTTTTTGTTAATTACTCTGTTTTATTAGCACTTGTAAGACCCATGAGGGACAGCAAATTTGATAAGGCTTCTCAGTCGGTTGTTTGTGCAGGACTAATGTCACCTGGGGTTCCCATGTAGAAGGGTCCCCCTTAACCACAGCATTTACCACGACCTGGGTAAGGCACAGTCACTGGGAGAATATCCTGGTTATCATAAAGCCAGGCCTGCATGGTTTGCATACGGAGCATACCAGTGACTTTATCTGGCGTGCTCCACTTGGCATTTTATACTGAAAGTTGAGAAGTCCACGTCTCAGGGTAAACAGACTTTACAGTGACATTTATCCAGTCTACTAGGCTGGTCATTCTCTCAGGAATAACCTCCTGTGAGTCTGAATCACATGCATTCATCAGAGATTGTTCAATAGTGAGCTGTGGGTCCTGCATCAACCCAAACATGCTCTTTCATTCTGCAGCATTTGAAATTATAGACATGGTCCTTAAAGTAGTTATTTTTATAATCCATTACAATAAAGGTTTCTCGGGAAGCTGGTGATACCAAACTACAAAGTGGAACAATTCTTTTACATTATACCCTCCAATTTTAATAGTTACTTGGTTTTGCCCTTCCCTCATCCTGACTATCATCTTGGTATAATAACTACAGGTCTCAGAGGTAACTTTTGTTGCCCTGGCTTAATCTTAACTTTTGTGGGTAGCTATGAGGCTAGTGGCCTGAGACAGACCCACATCTGAGCTTGGTCCAGCCTTGAGGCCCAATTCAGCACTCTTTTACTTTCATTTTGGCTATTACAGATAACAATAACCAGTGGAATATTTTGTTTTTTCCTTATTAGCCTGCATTTTCTTATACATCTGGCAAACTAAATCCTTGGGAGTAGGATCAATCTGTAAATTCTCTAAATTCCAAAGCAACTTTTACCTTTAGTAGCTGAATGCAGCCCACCTGCAGCTCCTTAAGATGGGTCTACCACGTGGCCGCCCAAGAGTCAAAGGTTCTCATATCTCACCTTTAAAATTTTCTCCATGTACTGGCACAGCAGAAAAAAAATAAAATTAAATTAAAATTTCTCCTTATTCATTTAGTTTTATGTGTATAATTTTCCCTTTACTTAAATAGCCTTGAAAGTAAAAAAAAAAAAATTACATTTTCTTTAACAAAAACTACATCCTGTATGTTAATGAACTTCACCCAAAACACACTTTATTTTTCTATGATTTTAACTCTTAGTAACCCAAATTCCCAATGAGAAAAAAGAGGATTAATTTAATATAACATGACTTTAAGATTTTAAACTGCTGAAGAAAATTTTTGAGATTAAATTGACGAAATTAATCTTACCAAATATCACTGAAGTCATGTGAACTAAAAGGCATCTGAACTAGCTTTTATTAGTCTGACAAGCACTTACTTTAAGCCAACTGATTAGAGCTCTTTTTATAGTTTGGTAATGAAATATCACTTCCACATGACACATAGAAGCATACAGACATAGCAGACACACAAAGGTAGATCCCATAAGATTTTTTCATTTGCCTGTTTCCAAAACTTATCTCTCTTACATTAGACTTAAAAACAATTATAGGATCCAACAAAAGAGAGTTCCCTCCCATCCCAGGACTTCCTAAAAGAGAGGAAGTGCTGAGGCAATGGAGTACAGCAAAAGTTGAACTTGTGAGATATCAATCTGAAGAATTTAAAAATAGAAACAGATTATAGAACTTAAAAATTAAAAACCTCTTGCATTAATAATAAGTCAATATTTTTTAAAAGTCTTGTTTTAACCAATCCTTTAGTTTTTGTATTGGTGTATTTTTGATATCAAAGTCCAATTTCTAGAAAGAGCATTATTTTTCTCTTTTTATTATAGCCAACTTAATCATAACATTTTAAAAATAAATTCCTCTTTTAGTTACTTTATTACAACTTAGATCATTCATAACATGCTTGACCTGTCTGGTTTATCCTAAACCTAAATCTCTTTTTTTCCTTTTCTTCCTTTTTTGGGGCAGAGTTTGGCTCCATCACCCAGGCTGGAGGGCAGTGGCATAACCTTGGCTTGCTGCAACCTCTGCCTCCTGGGTTCAAGTGATCTCAAGCCTCGTTCAAGTGATTCTTGTGCCTCATCCTCCTGAGTAGCTGGGATTACAGGTGCCCACCACCAAGCCTGGCTAATTTTTGTATTTTTATTGAGATGGGGTTTCACCATGTTGGCAAGGCTGGTCTTGAACTCCTGACCTCAGATGATCTGCCTGCCTCAGCACCCCAGAGTGCTGGTATTACAGGCATCAGCCACCATGCTTGGCCAACATCCATCTTTTAAAGCAATCAGTCATTTTATTTTAAGAAAAAAATTTGCCATATACAATTCTCTGTCATACAACGTTATTTTTCTTTTAACTTTTCTTACCAAAAATATCTCTTTATATCTATAACTTTCTTTAAGTATCTTATTTTCCTGGTTCCTTTTACTTTGTTTTATATATAACCTTTAAATGACCTTTGAATTAGAAATTATTTACCTTTTAATAAGAATACTTGTTTTTAGAAAAAGGTTTTCCTATAATCTTTTAAATTGGAAATTACTAAAATATTTAATTAATATTTATTTTTATTATAATCTTAGAGTCTATATTATATGGTAAGTTTATTTACAAGCATTTATTCCATTACATTTACCTGATTACTTAATTTATTTTTAATAGTTTACCTAGACTATTTAAGAAAACTGTGATAGTCATAATTTAAAGTTAACAACTTTCATGGTCTGTGAATTTCACGTTTCTCTAAGTAAGAAATTTAAGGTTGAATATATGGGAATTTTACCAATAACATAGGATTTAGCCATTTTCATTGAACCAGTGATATTAAATGTCTTACTTATCAAAAATTATATAAGCAGGGTGGGTGCAGTGGCTCACACCTGTAATCCCAGCACTTTGGGAGGCTGAGGCAGGTGAATCACCTGAGGTCAGGAGTTTGAGACCAGCCTGGCCGACATGGCAAAACCCTGTCTCTACTAAAACTACAAAAATTAGCAGGTGTGTTGGCATGTGCCTGCAGTCTCAGCTACTCAGGAGGCTGAGGCAGGAGAATTGCTTGAACTCGGGAGATGGAGGTTGCAGTGAGCCAGGATCGCACCACTGCACTCCAGCTTGAGCAACAGAGTGAGACTCCATCTCAAAAAAAAAAAAAAAAAAAATTACACAAGCAAAGAATCATTCTGTCTTTGGCTGGCTTTATAGTTTTCTAGCCCTTATGTCAAATTTTGATACAGTATAGTGTTTAACAGAGATAAGTATGAAACTGCTTAATAAGTGCAAACAAAAATGCTGACAATTCTTAAGACATTCCGAATATTACTTTACCAATAATTTCAAAGCTTCAAGGTCACAGGCAGATTCAAAGATTTTCTGATTAGCAATTGGTTGAAAGAGTTATTATCTAAAGACCTGGAATCAATAGGAAGTAGTGTCTGGGTTATAACAGGGGTTGTGGAGACCAAGGTTTTAGGCAGATGAAGACTCCTGGTAGCAGGCTTCAGAAGTAACAGATTGCAAACGTTTCTTGTCAGACTTAAAGAGTCTGTTCTAGAGACCCCAGAAGAAACACCACACATCTACAACCATCTGATCTTTGACAACCCCAGCAAAAACAAGCAATGGGGAAAGGACTCTATGTTTAATAAATGGTGTTGGGAAACCTGGCTAGCAATGTGCAGAAAGCAGAAACTGGACCCCTATCTGTCACCTTACACTAAAATTAACTCCAGATGGATCAAAGATTTAAACATAAAACCTAACACCATAAAAACACTAGAAGAAAACATTGGCTAAATCATCCAGGACATAGGCATAGGCAAGGACTTCATGACTAAAACACCAAAAGCAATGGCAACAAAAGCCAAGATAGACAAATGGGATCTAATTAAACTCTAGAGCTCTGTACAGCAAAAGAAACAATCATTAGAGTGAATCTGCAACCAACAGAATGGGAAAAAATTTTTGCAATCTACACATCTGACAAAGGGCTAATATCCAGAATCTACAAAGAACTAAAACAGATATACGAGAAAAAAACAAACAAACAACCCAATTCAAAAGTGGGTGAAGGATATGAACAGACACTTTTCAAAAGAGGACATATATGAGGCCAACAAACATATGAAAAAATGCTCATCATCACTGGTCATTGAGAAATGCAAATCAAAGTCACACTGAGATATCATCTCACGCCAGTTAGAATGGTGATCATTAAAAAATAGGGAGACAACAGATGCTGGAGAGGATGTGGAGGAATAGGAACACTCTTACACAGTTGGTGGGAGTGTAAATTAGTTCAACCATTGTGGAAGACAGTGTGGCGATTTCTCAAGGATCTAGAAATAGAAATTCCATTTGACCCAGCAATCCCATTATTGGGTATATACCCAAAGAACTATAAATCATTCCACTATAAAGACACATGCACACGTATGTTCACTGCTGCCCTTTGTACAAATAGCAAAGACCTGGAACCAACCCAAATGACCATCAGTGATAGACTGGACAAAGAAAATGTGGTACATATACACCATGGAATACTATGCAGCCATAAAAAATGAGGAGTTCACATCCTTTGTAGGGACTTGGATGAATCTGGAAACCATCATTCTCAGCAAACTGACCCAAGAACAGAAAGCCAAGCACCATATGTTCTCACTCATAGGTGGGTGTTGAACAACGAGAACAGGTGGACTCAGGGAGAAGAGCATCACACACAGGGGACAGTTGGGGAGGGTAGGGGAAAGACAATGGGGGGTGGGGAGGGAGGAGAAGGTGGGGAGGGATAACATGGAGAGAAATACCAGATATAGTATGCACCTAAAGTAAAATAAATAAATTAAAAAATAAAATAAAATAAAATAATTTAAAAAAAAAGAGTCTGTTCTATCAGTTTTAAGGTCTGTGTTGATACCAATACCGGTCAGCTGGGTCTGAATACCAAGAGGGAGAGGTATAATGAGGCCTGTCTGACTCCCACTTCCCATCATTGCCTGAGCTTGTTTTTCAGGTTAACTTTGGAATGCCCTTGGCTGAGAGGAGGGGTCCATTCAGATAGTTAGCAAGCTTAGAATTTTATTTTTGGTTTACATCCTTTACATTTGCATACGGATAATGGCACAACCATTATAATATAATAACAAATATTATTTGTTAATATTTAAAAAATTGGCAACAATGCAAATGTCCATGGGCAGGGGAATAAATAAATAAATTGATGTGTGTTTATGGGATAGAATACTTGACAGCAATAAAAATGAATGGACTAGATCTTGAAATAATGATGGAAGAGCAAGCAGTAGGCTGGACGTGGTGGCTCACAACTGTAATCCCAGAACTTTGGGAGGCCGGGGCAGGAGGATCATTTGAGATTAGGAGTTTGAGACTAGCCTGACCAACATGGTGAAATCTCATCTCTATTAAAAACAAAAAATTAGCCAGGTGTGGTGGCAGGCACCTGTAATCCCAGCTACTTTGGAGGCTGAGACAGAAGAATTGCTTGAACCTGGGAGGTAGAGATTGCAGTGAGCCAATCTGTGCCACTGCACCCCAGCCTGGGTGACAGAGTGAGATTTCATCTCAAAAAAAAAAAAAAAAAAACGAGCAGCAGAATGATAAGTAAGGTATGAGTCCATTTTAAAAACACAAAATGCAGCATATTGTTTATGGATACATGTAATTTATAGTAAAAGTGTAAAAACACTTTTGTCATAATGATGACCTTAGGAAGGGAGAAGGGGAAAAGGCTGCCTGCCTGGGCCATGCTGGAGATTTCACCTTTACCAATAATGTCAATTTATTTCTTTTTTTGAAATGTTAGAGGAATTTATTATATTATTTATTAGAGTCTCCTTTTCTGACCTTTATTTTTTTTCCCAGCTTTATTGAGGTATAATTGACAAATAAAAATTGTATATATTTGGCCAGGTGCAGTAGCTCATGCCTGTAATCCCAGCTCTTTGGGAGGCCAAAGCACACAGATCACCTGAGGTCAGGAGTTTGAGACCAGCCTGGCCAACATGGTGAAACCCCACCTCTACTAAAAGTACAAAAATTAGCCAGGCATGGTGGTACATGCCTGTAATCTCAACTACTGGGGAGGCTGAGGCAGGAGAACCACTTCAACCTGGGAGGTGGAAGTTGCAGTGAGTTGGGAGATTGTGCCACTGCACTCCAGCCTGGTGACAGACTGAGACTCCATCTAAAAAAAAAAAGTGATATTTACAGTGTACAAGGTGATCTTTAAATATACTACATGTTATGAAATGATTATACCACAATTAAGTTAATTAACATCTCTATGACCTCACAGTTATCTTTGTGTGTGGTGAGAACATTCAGTATCTCCTCTCTTAGTAATTTTCAATAATGTAATACATTATTATTAACTATAGTGACCACACTATACAATATATCTCCAGATATTCATCCTACCTAACCGAAATTTTGTATTCTTTGAGCAACATCTCCCCAGGCCCCCACCCCCAGCCCCTGACAACCACCATTCTGTTCTCTGCTCTTGAATTTTTTTTTTTTTAGATTCCACATATAAGCAAAATCATGCAGCATTTGTCTTTCTGTGCCTGGCTTATTTCATTTAGCATAATATCCTATAGATTCATTCATGCAGTTGAAAATGAATTTTCTAAACCCATGGCCAACATTATACTTAATGGGAAAAAGTTGAGAGTATTACCCATGAGAACTGGAATAAGACAAGGATGCACACTTTCACCACTTATACTCAACACAGTACTGGAAGTTCTAGGCAGAACAATCAGACAAGAGAAAGAAATAAAGGGCAGCCTTTATTTCTTTAAAGGAGATATTTACTTCTTTATTTCTCTTCATTTTAAATCAGTAAAGTGGAAGTCAGACTGTTACTGTTTGCTGATAATATGATTGTATATCTAGAAAAACCTAAAGACTCATCTAAAAAGCTTCTAGAACTGATCAATGAATTCATTAAAGTTTCAGGATACAAAATTAATGTAAACAAGTTAGTAGCACTACTATACGCCAACAGTGACCAAACCAAAAATCAAATTAAGAACTCAACCCCTTTTACAATAGCTGCGAAAAATTAAAATACTTAGGAATATACCTAACCAGGAGGTGAAAGACCTCTACAAGGAAACAACAAAACACTGCTGAAAGAAATAATAGATGACACAAATGAAAACATATCCCATACACATGGATGGGTTCTACAAATTCAATGCAATTCCCAGCAAAATGCCACCATGATTCTTCACAGAAGTAGAAAAAACAATCCTAAAACTCATAGGGAACGAAAAAAGAGTCCACATAGCCAAAACAAGACTAAATAAAAAGAACAAATCTGGAGGCATCACATTACCCAGCTTCAAACTATACTATCAGGCTATAGCCACCAAAACAGCATGGTACTGGTATAAAAATAGGTACACAGACTAATGGAACAAAATAAAGAACCCAGAAACAAAGCACCAAATACTTACAGCCAACTGATCTTCAACAAAACAAATGAAA